GAGAAGTCGAATATGCAATTTAACAAAAGCATTACTCTAGATATTGAAATAGTTTAAGATCAGTCATTGTTATGCACTATAAAAATTATGTTCAAAATCTTACTTGCCAATGGTATAAAACATGTTGCTTAATTTGTGTGCATGTTTGACTGAGAAATTTAAATTATACAAGATTAACGAATAAAATCTCTAAAAAAAATAATTAATCGATATTAAAATTTAAAATTTTCCCTTGAACTATTTAAATTGCTGTATAATAAAACTTATTTCTAACATATTGGTTATTTGAAGAATCATATAAATTTGCAGTACACATTGAATGACAGCGATGTACAAAATGAACCTTTGATAAATTATCAATAAGACTTATTGGGTAGACCCGGTGCCACTGTGTGTTTCCAGCTGTTTGTATTTCGTAAACTGGACAATGAAGAATCAGATCGAGTATTAAACATTCTTGCAACCAATCAACCCAAATAAATGAATATACTAAACTGTCATTATATTTATACGTAAATATTCTCTTCAATATAGCGTATGATAAACTATTTTCTTCCTGAATTTGCACTATATCACCAGAATGCAAATTCACATACGTATCAAATGTAGCATCATCATTTAATAAAGTATATCTAATCTGTTTATAAAATTCCACATGCCTATATATTAAAGCTGCCCTTTTTCTATATAAATATCATATGAGCTTATGACATCATAGGTAAATTGAAGATTGTCATCAAGGTTAATAGGTAAAGAAAGCTGGTGGACTTTGCTTTTTGATAGACATTTTCATGTTTTAATGTTTCTTATTTTATCATCATGTGACGTGATATTTGTATCTATTGTAATAAAAAATTACATTATTATACTAATAATAATAACAATAGTTTTTGCTTAAAATCTTTAGTAAATCGAAACTCAAAGAACAGTTTGAATCGAAAAGAAATGTCGAATACATAAAAAAGTTAATTCTTTTACGAATATATGAAAGTTAGTAATTTAGAATTATGACCTTAAAATTAGAGGTATATGAAGAAACACCACCTACTTGTATATTGATATAGACATTATTCCCTTTCACATTTGTTCAAGTTATTTCCTTTTTAAGAAACTGTCGAGAATTCATTAAGTATTAATGTTAATACTTAATAATGATGATAAATAAAATAAATCATAATCATGTGATAGAAATAAAATATTACCTGGCTTAAGGTTTATATTCACTTTTTTGTTTATTCTGGAGTTTCGATAATTAAAATTAATGTATATCGATTTGTACTTACTAATAACATTCATATCTTTTTCTTGAATATTCTGTGCCATATGCCAATCAGATAATATAGGTTGAAGTAATGGATCTGTTGTAAACTTTTGAAAACCTTGTCCAATATATTGAAAGTGGCTATCCTTGCCTTCATCGATCAGATAACGAATTTTTTGGAGCGTATTGTGTCATCGAATAAAATCTAATTCCACATTCTTACAATTTATTTTCGTAACAGAACTTTTGAAGATTTTGTATACCGCTTCCTTGATTTTCACGTAGATGTTTACGAGTGTCCCAAAGTTGTGAGTATTCTGAACATGATATCGATTTATATGCAAGTTTGGTAAATTATTGAAATTATCTGGAAAAAGTTGAAATACAATAATATCAAAAAATTTATTACAATCATCAAATCAAGACCCACACATACATACATACAGTATTACAAAAAACATAAAATTTTTGTCACCATAATACTACAAGCAGAATATACTCACTTTTAATAGGAGAACATGTTCTATTTTTAGAGCTTCATCTAATTCCATATAGGTTTGCTCAGTAAAGGTAAAACTAAAACTTAAACAGGATGCTTTTGCAATGGCCACCCAGCACAAAATAATTTTATTCACAATTTGTGTTGCCTTTAATCATTTGTTTGTTGATCTTGCAAGACATTTTCATAGCAAATCTAAATCAGCATCTTTAATATGTGTTGTTAATAAAAATCACCATAATAAAAATAGCATTATTATTGCCAACTGCAAACAATCAAAAAACATGAAACTATTAAAGTGTTTGATTGGGTTAGAGAGACGATACCAATTGAACGATGTCTCAAAGTTTTTCCAATATTTTAAAAATGTGAATTTTCCTATTGGACTTAATATTGAAAAAGTACAATCCATTAACCTTTGTACTTTTCCAACTACAGTGTGATACGCATCCTGTGGAGTCTGCAAATGACAGTTATATGTTATCTGATTAAAAATACTAAAACACACACTTAAACCATGTTTAGTACAATACTCATTAATGGTTTTTTGTAATGCTCTCTCTAGTACTAATTCTTCTAGCTTGCTTATTTTTTATTCATAAGATGATGATATCTTGCATTTAACTTAACGTCAAAAGTAAGATCACACAATCACTCCTTAGGTGCCAAACAACTTCTGCATCCTTGATTAGCACTATGATGCTTCGTATTGTCAAGATCGTTACCTTGAGAGAGGTTAGCGGTTATAACACCCGAAGCAGCAATTACCCATATGTCTTGACCCACAATATTAAATAAAGTGCCTTTTTCTAAATTTTTAATCTTATTTATTATTGGTTTCATTATATCATCGAACTCTTCTCCAAATGGAACAAAGCCCAAAACGAAATGATTTTTAAGTTTTTGTCTTAGCCATAAAGGCATATTACAAAATTGAAGATAAATTCTGCCCAGAGAATGATAAACATTTTGGAAAGTGCCGAAGTCATCATAATAAATGTCTAGCATTATTTTAAACATAGGCACATTATGAAGAGCTGATGCTAGAATTTGTGTATATTCAATTGGGTGAAGATGTCATAATTTGCAGTCTCTTATCTTCCATTGGCCTTCATGACTATATAAGATTTCACTCATATAAAATTGATAATTCAGTAGCTCAGGAATATCTTTAAGCCAAACTTTAACTGGTTCAATCACATTAAGTGGATCAATTAAGTATGTTATTTCGCTTAACCATAATTCACCATTTTATGATCGTTCTATCCTTGCTGAACTTGTAAAAGCTCTTGGCAATTCTGAACCAAAATAAAGAAGTTGAACTTTCAATTTATTACTATTGGAGGTTAAGACTATCGCCATAATTCTTCTGATCCTTATTTTTTGGTCTTTGTATTTAATGAATGACCTTATTTTATATAATTCTAAATATAATTTATTATTAAAAAAAAATTAAAACAAAAAGATGGAATATAAGCTTAGTTATAGTTTGAAATTGTTAGCAAACTATTATTTCACATTTTATATAAATGTTACCTTGATTTATTTGTATTGAGGATGGGCCAAAAAAAGATGATTCTTGCTAAATGCTCCTGTGCCAGAACTCTGATTTTATTTCAGTTTCGACTCCCAACCCGAAATACATTTGTGACCATAAATCTCTATTACTTAGAACTCTTCGGATGTGCTTGCTTATGGATAGAGTATATGCATCCTTGTAAGGAGTTGATGTTGATGGTGTATTTGTGTCTTTAATTGAAACTTTATAGCATTTTATTATTTGAAGTGGGAGGCAATTTCTTAATGACCTTAATCGCCGAACATTCTCAATTACTTGATTGGGTCGAAAGTTAGGATGATTTATAATACATACAAGGTCTTCATACACCTTAGTTGCTGAAATAAGGTAATCAATTATTCAAATAATTATTCAAAGAAAAAAATAATAATAATAAAATTAAAAATAAATTAAATAAATCATGAAGATTCCTATTAATAATACTCACTTATCATGTGCTTAGTAACCCATGTAAAAAGCGACATCTCTGTAAAATTTTTAAAATATGGACCATACTCTTCGGATAGTGGCTGAAAATTAATTCCATTGTCTTCTACTATAGATTGTGCACATTCTGTTTTCATCTCTTGTAATTCAATTTCACTCATAACCATTGATTGGTTACTACTACTTATTGTGTTCGAAGCACTACTTAGTGCATCCAAAGTTGTAAAAAAATCACTTTCGAAATCATTAATAAGTTGGTTACTGTTGCTCATCATGTCTGAAATGCTATTCATTGCATCTGAAGCTGTAGAGAAACTGTAATCAAAATCATTATTAATAAACTGACTTCTGCATGAGGACCTTCTCATAAATTTTTACTGCTGTCATATCCATTATTTATTGAATCCGACAAAACTTGAATTTCATTGTCTTGTGCAGTATATATCATGCATATTCTTCTTGTAAATTCTTATTGACACGTTTAAGCAATATGGTCTTTTTGGTTGGTTTATTAGTTCATATTCTCATTTTTAAATAGACGACCTCAATAATAAAAGGGATAACTATAAGAAACACCACTAAAAATACTCAATTAATAACCTCTAAGCGATATAATTAAGATAAAGTTAAAAAAAAACCAAGTTTGTGAAGATTTGTTTTTTATATTAATAATTTTTAAGTAGTAATATTTAGGGAAAAGGTGGAAAAAAAGAAATATGAAAATTTTAATGGGTCTGCCTTTATATTTATTTTCTTAAAGTGGGGTTTTGATTATTACTTGACTCCAAATCTAATCTTATTAACTTTGTAAATCAATTTATTTGAACTTTTAATATATGGCATTTTGCAATACTTAGTTATATACATGTGATCACAATAGGAGTTAAATATATATATATGAAGGTGCAACGACAAGTTAAAATTTTTGCTTTTGTAAAATAATGGACAAATATAAGGAATTCAATTTTCGAGCATAAATGTACATGCAAATTTCTCACTTATTTTTTGAAACTCCTTGCCTACATATTTTCTATTCTATTAGATTTAATTATAATGTATTTAATGTTCAATTACTTTGAAAATTTGTACGATAAGGCTGCATTATGTAGATCCCTGCAATAATAAGAAAAGGCAATTGTTAAATTAAAATGGTAATCCAGTTATTGTCATTGTATGTATGTATGTATAAGTAAATTAATAACATATGTGCTATTCTATCCTCAGAAGCGACCTAACGTTTATTTGTTGTAAAGCTTCTTTTCTATCTGCTGTGAAAACTTCTATATCAACCATCTTATAATTCAGGTCTTTAACGTCATTGATAACATCTTTGTCCAAAAGTTCTTCTTGAACAAAGAGATCAAAGGCTGATTTTATAAAATTGGTAAACATGTTAACATTTA